AGTTGGATCCAATTCAAATCCTACTGCCTTCTCAGATTTGGGCCCCCATTAACAAGCAATCCATTAGGCGAACTAATCAACCTCAAACAGACTGGAACTGTGGCTGAGTATCAACGTCAGTTTCAAACCCTCCTTGCAAGAGCATCTTCGGTATGTCCAGAACAACAGGTTGACATGTTCACCGCGGGGTTAGCGGAGATTTTGAGGGTGGATGTCGAGATGCAAAATCCCCCCAATCTGGTTACTGCTATGAATTTGGCTCGCGCCTTTGAACGCAAATTGCAATTCAATCGCAGAAGTATCAGTATAGGGCGGCCTCAAACAACATGGGCAGCCCCAAAACCACTCGGAATGGCTCCATCTTTAGCAGCCAGCCAAGAACAGAAACCACAGACGAGCAACAATTCCAGATTGACATCCAGTGTGGGAAGCAGCGTTGTTGCATCCCCTATTAAGCACTTGTCCAGGGCTGAGATGGTGGAACGCAGGGCGAGGGGATAGTGTTTTAATTGTGATGAACTTTACTCAGCAAGGTAGAAGTGCAAGAGACTTTTCTGCCTCCTGGTGGAACAAGAGGAAGATGAGGATGAACCCTCTTCATTGGAACCCGATCCAGGAGGGAAAAATCATTCCACCTATCCTGGATTCCTTTGACTGTGTTTCAAGACACCTATCCTGAATTCGAGCTTGAGGACAAGCTCTTAGTCCAGGAGGGGAGTAATGTTGTGGATGCTTTTACAGCCGCAAACAGCAGCAGTAATGGGCGATTAATTCATTGTTTAATGGATAACAACAGTAATGGGCGATTAACTCAGTGTTCTTATCTTATCTCTTAGCCAAATTCAGTGTTATCTTATCTCTTAGCTAGATTCAGTGTTCTTATCTTATCTGTTAGCTAGATACAGTGTCCCTATCCTATCTTATTTGTTTCTATCTTATCTGTTCAGTGTTCTTATCTTATCTGTTTCTATCTTAGCTAAATTCAGTGTTCCTATTAATTAGGCAGTAGTATAGGTAAAGGTTATTAGGAAGTCTTCCTAAAAGTATGACTCTTATCTTCTTGTAATCTCCTATTTAAAGGAGCAGATGATATTCAATGAAACCATCGATATTTCAGTCAAGAAAGAGCAGAGGAGAGTTGGTGATCTCTTTAACAAATCACATTAAGGTGCTAAAGATAGGTTCCTCGAGAAAAGGGAGAAACAAGGGAAAACAAGAAGTTTTCCCCATTAACCGACCCGTGACGAGATCCTATTCGCGGGCCCATAACATAAAAGGCAATTGTTATTAGTTCACGACCTAAAATTGTTTCATGTTATCTCACATAGAACGGTCTTTTATCTATGTTCCATCTCCATTTATTCATCTCCGAGATTTCCCTCCTATCTCAATGACGAGGAAATCACATAGGTGCATGGAGCCAACTGTTTCAGTTGCAAAACCCCACCACTTTCTATGAAGGATCAAGTATCCACTTATCCAATGAGCTTTCCCTTTGGCCTCCATCAGACAAGGTTCATTGCTATTTTAGGTTAAAACTTTCTATCTGGTAAGTGCTAACCCGTCATATCGTGGACTCCAAGGTACCATGAAAGTCTTCCATTTTAGGATAGGCCTCTCCCACCTCGGTCTATAACGTCCCTATCATCTTATGATGCAATCCCATCGACTGGACGAACAAAATGGATAGCCCAATTTTATGGTGCATCTCCACCCACCGATTCAGCCCGTTTTCATGCTAATGACAGAAGGCCTTTAGAGAATTCATCATATGATATTCTCTATCTCTTTGCACTTATATTAATCCGGAGGGAACGAAAAACAGTCCCTAGGTCTGATTTAGGTCCTACCAAAGTGGCTCCCACTGACTTTCATAAAGTCAGATTCGAATGGGCCCAAATCGGGCTAGGGTTCTGCGGGGTTCCTCTTGGGAAGGAAGTTGATCAGGGGGCCCATCGAAAAGGGAGATCATGCAATGATCTAAGGGCATCATGGCAATGATGTGCATTCAGCCATGATGTTCGCATAGAGCCACACACGTCTAAACATGGGCCAAGCAATTATGGCCCATGAACGAATCACATTCAACACATCACAAGCACAAGCACAACCACAAATTGATCCAATTAATCAAACTTTCTTAATGTGCATTCAGCCATTAATTTTTTTTTTTGATCAATAACACAATTCATTATCCTAATGGGTGCTCCATACCCTTATCCAAATTCATATTCGCCCAAGTCACATGATTGCTTAAGTTGTCATGTGAAATCCTGATTTATCCAATTAATCATGGGCTTTAGGCCCATTTAGCAAGTGGCTCATGTCCCCAGGTAGTTGTTGGTTCATTTAGGTTTAATTTGTATAGCGTGCCCCAACAATGACCTTACATAAGCCCACATGGGTTCGGCCCAACCCTTGTGAAAAGGCCTGGCCGAATTCATTGTCAAGTACATTGAACCCCCGAGTCTATCAGTATGGGCTCTTAATGGGCCCAACATTTACAATAAATGATCCTTGAGTCCAGCCATCCTATGAAAGCCCAAGGGCAATGGACTTAAGTAAGATATAGCCCATCACGTAAACATCCCTTAATGGTTTCTTATACTTAACCTCTCAACCCATAATGATCAAACATTGCCCGACAGGGAAGGACCTCTCCCCTAGCTGCAAGGTGCAGCGTTGCACTCTCTGCTCGGATGGGTCCCAGGAATTAAAACCTTTTGCAAACCTTTTTCTTAAAAACATAATATATATTATCATATAAATGTATTTTGCAAAACAAATCTCAAACACGGTTGAAATCGATTGCCGACAGTTCTGGTTTCCATCAGAGAGAGTGCAGTCCCGATTATTCACTTTGTTCAACAAAGGGGCTAATCCTATCACTATGATCACCCACTCGGATGAATTCTCGGACTGTCCCAACATACCCAGGTTTTGACCCCCTCTAAGGATCTCACTGATTGGCATATTAAAGACAGCCCGATCCGACACCCAGTGCAGTACCATATTCGAGTCTAGGGGTTATGTGTAACTTTCCAGTTCTGCCCACTAGTCTCCAAGGTCTAGGGCATAATTGGAAATTGGTCCGGGTTCAGTGTTTCAAACAAACACACACTACATGTGTTTCGGGTCCAATCCTAGTTGAGACAGGTTGCCCCAACCTTTTTGGCAGCACCTTAGTGTCATCCTTGGCAAGATAAACTCCCCAAGTCTATCCAACGGCTGAGAACATTCTAAACTAACACGAGTCTCATAAGTGTTCAGTTTAAGGGGTAATTACACAGAAACACATCAATCATAACATGAAACAATTATGTACTTTTACTCATTTACAATAAATGTATCAGTATATCAATTTGATTGGAGTTAAGGGCATACACTGTGTAGCAATTTAGCTAGATGAGAATGCAAGAAATCAATCAAGGGCAGTTTTCCATAGAGTTTGCATAAGTGATGACTCAAATGGTCCATTCATTCTTGAAATTTCCGTCATGGTAGGAGGAAAGCACAAAATCTAGAATATGCTATATGAAAATATTTACAACTTGTGTGTAGTATGTGGTAGATGGACTCTTGTAAAATGCTGAGGAGAATGGATGGACTGTTGTAAAAATAAAGCTCAAGAAAATAATAAGTAAACCAATAATCTTCAATAAGAAAAATGACTGGACTCAAGTGAGGTCTGTTAGAGGTTTCAGAGCAAACTTGAACTGGGACATTGGGTAGTGGCTGTTTTAACTGCCATAGGTAGGTAGGGATGGGGGGAGGGTGCCAAATGGCTAGTATTTTGCTCAGCATTTTTTAACTGTCTAGGATTCATGTGACATCTCTGTCAGTTTACTTCTTCAATTGGATCCTTTGTAAGTGTATTGAAGATTTTGATAGAAGAAAAATAGTGCTGTAGTTTGCTAGTTTTTTGCTCAGCATGGGAGGGAGATTTCGAACTTGATACTAGGTTCTCTAGAATTTGCATGACATATTTGCCACCTAGTTTCTTCTTAAACCACTTCAATTGGGTTGTTTGCAAGTGTGTTTGAAATATTGATGGAATAAATTGAGCTTTAATTTGCAAGCATTTTAATCTTGAGTTCATCCCGTCTAGAAACAATTAGGCTGAGGTGCTAATGCAGTGAAGCTTGAGGAAAATGTTTTGTTGCGTTCATTATTATTTCTTTTTTATATTGTTGGATAAAGATGGGTTATGAACCAAGGAGGCAGTATCAAGTATCAATACTAGCAGAGTTTTAACAAGCTAGCTCTTCTTGATCTCCATGAAATTAATGGAGACATGTTATGATGCTTGCAACTTTTTTTATCATATTTCTGGGTTTTGTTTTCATTGATTATTTAAACACTATTGTCCACTTAAAGTATGGAGTACCATAGCTAGTCCAACCCAGAAGGCTTGGCTCACCTGGTGGTGATTGGTATTTTTGTGATTTTAAATATAAAACATGAAAGAGGGTGAACTGAACAGGTCCAGAGGCCTGGCCTGGTCTCCTAGATGGTGTTGTCTCTTATTTATTAGCTGAACAGGCTTAATCTTCATGCATGTGGGATGGAAATTGTGCTCATGAAGGTCACGGAAGTTTCCTTTGTGTGGCCTATTATTAAGTGCTCATGAAGTGCTCTATTTGCATAACCTATTATGCTTTGACTTGGAGATTCTGGAGTGTTCAATTGGTAAGATATCTCTTGGATGTGTTGTTTTGTGAAGACAATTCTCTGCAAAAAAGTCATTACCTTTGATTAGTTGTGTTACCAAGTTATTTTCATGTCCGATCCTTGTTTTGTCTCTTATTGATCTTGAACAGTCAAGTTTGGTCATTGATTGTCATGCTTGATTGCTATCCGAGTAAAGTTCTATAAATGAAATGGTTTCAACAAATGTGCAAAAGAATCGTGTCTATGGAGTCAACCTTAAACTAACATAAAATCTTTTTGTCCTTGAGTTTTTCTTTGGTACTGTTTATATTTGATCGATGTCATTGCAGATGGCCGAGATGTGGGGCAGCAGAGCCTTTCTTCTGGAGGAAAACCAAAACCTTGTATGAAGTTCTTCAGGTTTGCTCTTTGGTTTTCAATAATCTATTGTCATCTATTGTGTACATGTAAAAACCATAATTAACCAATTGGGAATCCCTCCTCATACATAAATTGGGCTTAAAGAAAAAGGACAGCTGAGCTTGAAAGTTCTTGAACCAGACCAGTATTTTGTCTTTCAGGTCTGGCATTGCTATCAGGGCAGCAGTTTCACTCTCACATCAGCTTTCGATGGGTTGGAAGTGAAAAATTGCTGCAGTCGAGTCCTCAGGTACAGCTTAAGGGGAGGAATCTTGAATGGATGGATATTTCTTCTGGCCACAGTAGTTAATTGTCTATGGATTTCAGGGTCTTATCTATAGAAATTAGTCCTGCTTGAACCACATAAACACCTCCATCCACAATGTCTTCAAATCTCCTATTACATTTTTCTTTCTCTATTTATTTAGTGTCAAGGCAGGTTTATATGTCTATGGATGAGAGTAAGATTACCCTTGTGGTAGACATTTAAGGTTTCTTTTTAAAGCAATGAAAATGTTGTACATGCCTGATCCCCAGGTCTTAACTGCAACCAATAGATGTTACTCATGAGCATGGTTTTCAAGGTGCCAAGGCGAGGCTAGGCGATAGGGGGGTGCCTTGTCACCTAGTTGCCTAGGCGATGGATTTTTTCAAGTACAAACATGTATCTTATGGTAGTTCCCTAGGTTTCATAATCATATTTCCTTAATAAATATCCATAATTTTCATAAGAAAAGTATAAACTTCATGTTAAAGTATAGAAAACCAACATATTCATGAGAAGAAAAAGAAGAAAGAAAAGAAAATTAAAAAAATATAGGGGCTGAACCCCTATTTCTGTTATAGGAAAAGAAGAAAAGAAAAGGTGGAGGAAGAAGAAGAAGAAGAAGAAGAAGAAGAAGAAGAAATTAGTATATAAACACACAAAATTAGTAAAGAAAAATAAGAAAATGTGTCGATTGAACAACATTTTATGTTCTTCCTTGGTTATTGGTTCAGGTTTTGAAGTCTTTGAGGGTTCAATACAGCATTTAGCAATGTTTGTGTTGATTAAACCCTAACAAATAAGAAAATAATAAAAAGAAATTAGTATATAAACACACAAAATGAATATTTTAGTTTAAAAATGTCTATTTTATAATTATAACCTCAAAAAATTAAGAATATAAATGTTTTTTATAACACGCTATAGAAAACTACTTGGCAATTAGGCAAGGCGAGCCTCCAAGGGCGCCTTGTCGCCTAGGCGTCGCCTTGACAACTATTCTCATGAGCAAGCTGGCACCTTTTACACATGCATGTTCTTCAATTACACATTGGACTAACTGCCCAAAAGTTTACCCAATCATAGTTGTGACCTGTAGTCTGTTCCATTATTTGGGATGATTAAAAAATGACACATAGTAAGGAAAGAGTAAATACTTGATGATGATGGTGATTTGATAGGGGTCTGTTTTGATTTAGTAGATATTTAGTTGGCCTGTCGACTATGAACCATGTTACATAGGTATGACATTGGACACAGGTGGACAGGATGTTGGGTACTGAATTTATACTAAAATTGAAGCATCTGACACAATATGGCACCCTTGTGTGTATCTGTGTACTTAGCTATTAGCTACATCCTACATGCCTATGATAAATTGATTCCTAGCTTATGAATCAGGTTTACCTTCTTTTTTACATACTTTTTTGATCAGTAACAGAAATTTTGTTGCTTAAGATTAGAACTTTATAAGGGTCATGTACAAGCAGTATATAAAATACATACAAAAGTAAAAGCAAACCCCAGTCACGCATAAAAAATACAGTCCTTACAGTAGATGACCTTTTTTTACATAATTTGTATATTTATTATTTTCCGTCTCTTGGGCAGTACTTCTGGTTGTCCCTTTGGAGAATCCTGCCACTTTCTACACTATGTACCAGGAGGCCTCAGTTCTTTGGGTCTAGCCCCGGTATTGTCTCTTTCAGCTGCTGCCTCTCAGCGGAAATCAAGCGGGCCAGTAGGGGACCCAAGTGTCACGGTCAGTGGCTACAAGACAAAACTTTGCAACAAGTATAACACTTCTGAAGGCTGCCGGTTTGGGGACAAGTGTCATTTTGCACATGGAGAGAGTGACCTACACCTGCCAAACAATATGTCTCGAGGGAATGTTCAACGGGCTCCAGCAGAAGGACCAAGAGGATTGGGTCCTCCAGGTTTTAATAACAGCGTCTCCAACTTCCCAAACCCAACAACATACATGAACATCTCAAACTTCAATTCTCAAGGCTATGGTGAGCCAAACGCACCTGGTGTTCCAACTGCTAGTTATGAAGCTGGGCCCGTTGGTGAAAATGTACAGGTTTATTAATGAAGAGGGTTGGGTGGTCCTTGTGGTTGGATTTGTTGGAAAAACTTGCATTCAGTAAATAGAACTTCTGGCAGAGTGATGATCGAAGGACCATACCAGCGTTTGGTGATGCTCCATTGTCCGTCCGCTAAACGTTTATTTTGTATCTGTTCTATAGCACCTGTTCTATTTAGCTTCTCCAGGAGAAATTTGGAACAATATGCCTTGGGCAGATGCAAGAATTTGCTTCCGATCATTCCTGCACTGGGTCCAAGTCCATGCCTATTTATGAATTTTCTTTAGCAGTCCTTTTCAGTAATGGTGACAACGTAAGGGGACAAAGGGATGGAAAGATCGAGATGGTTATATTCTTGGTTTTGTAATGAAGCTCAATTTATATTTGAGAGTTTAAATATTCATATGGTAGGAAGTTAAATTCAGCATCAGAATCATTTAATTTTTCAGTGTTCAAATCAAGGGAAGATTTTTGTTCTCAAAAAAAAAAAATCAAGGTAAGTTTTTGACTTTCGTAGTCAGATTATATGGGTTTGTACTTCCTGCAAGCTGTGTATGTCTTCTATTAGATTCCATGATGATCATCACGACCCCATTTTAGTTCCCTATGCAGATTGAAGATGTGAATGCCGGAGTTGCTCAGTTTGATTTATTATGGATAAATAAGATCATATAATCCGAGTGATCAACAGCAAAAATGGTTTAGAGATATTTCACGTGTTCCAGGTTACTTGGGCAAAATTTTGGCCGTCTAAATTCAGCATCTTGTCCTTTTCAGCAGGGCTTTCCAGAGTTCTACCCACATGGGGGCGCCCCACAACGTTCCACAGCACATCCCAGCAGTGTATTGGGAACATTTCCGTACCAGAAATGATGAAACATCATCGGAAGATGTTCCCAATACATGGCCGGTTGTGCTGTGGGACGTCGTGAGACGCTCCCTTGTGGGGGGCTGATTTGAACTCTTCCACATATGACGCACTTCACACCAAGGTTCAAAATATCACAACTTACCGGTATGTATTGTAGGTTTTGGAATCCACCAAAAAACCTCATCCTGAGATTAAGTCTTGTACGTTATAAATGTGTGAAAATCAATTTTTGCATTTTCCGTATATTGATACTTTTGAATTTTGATCCCAAGGACATGATTAGGGCTATATTTTCAGGCCCTGTTGTAGGTGACTCTTTGAGAGTTGAAATCCTTGTGAAGGAATTCAGAAAGTCGAGTTAAATGTTTCCAAACTGATAATTGAAGGGGAGTCAAAAGGAGATGGACTAGTGGGAATATATAAATGAAAATAGGCAGTTCAGATATTTGGCTCAAGGAATGGAAAATCAGTTTAACTGGATTAAGAGAGACGCTAATAGCTTAGCTGATTCTTTGGCTCAGCAAGGGGTGGGAAGAAATGATTTGTTTTGAACTGTGTAATGTTTTCTTTTTTGGAGGGTGGGAGCTAAGAGAATTTAGCTCTCCTCTTCTTTTATTTGGTTAATTATTTCTTAGTGCAATCCATTCAGTTATTGATCAAAAAGAAGAAAAAGGGCATGACAAAAGGATTCGTAATCAATCAATCAGTATTGTAGCCAATCAGGTAATATTTATCATCAAAATTCAAAGGATGTTGGGGGAGGGGGGTTGATTGGCCCATTAACACGTGGGGGTCTATTCCAGTCACGGCTAGCGGCTAGCTTCTTCAATTTACAAAACAGGACACATTCAGAGGCCTATAAATGAGCCTGATTCTATTAGACCCCTCTACGCATGCAAGTGAGCAAGTCTATTAGCATTTCTATTTGCAAAACAGGACACATTCAGAGGCCTATATTTGTCTATTATGTCTTAACACAGGAAATAAGCATCCCACACCATATCAGCTCCAACTTTGAACCATGATGCTTCACATACTCCTTGTAACAGTATCGGGACAGCACATTTGCAGTTGACTGTCGCAGAACTGCCTTGTGACTTCTAAATGAAACATGAACACACTCATGATGGAAATTAATAAACATTTCACATGATGCTTAGTGGGAAAGGGGGGGGGGGGGTTTGCAAGAGGTGCTGTGATAGAATACGTGAATTCAAGTATCAGTGCTACATGCTTTGTAGGATGAACTAATGTATCACGCAGAGAAAGCCCTCTCCTCCTAATCAAGCCTCTTGTGGATGGTTATCTAATTTTGGCATGCATAAAGGAGCAGCTTTGCAAGGATCACGTCTAGAATGTCAACAAGAGAAAAACCTACAAGCGGTGGTGATGGTAAATGGAATTGATAAGATTGTAAACATGCTGATCTTTGAGCTAGATCTCTTAGGACATGTTGATGTGGTTGGCCTGCCATCTCTGATGTGACTGTTACTACTTCTCAGGCTTTGAACGATTACTTTCTTAGACGTTGGCAGAGAAAATTATGGAAGATCAAGGGGAGTTTGCTTTTGCTGATGTGGCAGTTATTTTTGTTTAAGAAAACAAAGTCATACACATTGGGAAATACTACTAAATGGGGCCTCCTATAAAAGAGTAAATAGGGTTAATCTATTCTCAATTATGGAAAAAAACATCCTAAAAATTACAGTTACAACAATATATTCTTCGGATCCACTTAAAATGTTCCCAAAAATAGGGAACAGCCCATAAATCCCCACAAACTCAAACCAACAGTCCCTGCTCCCATCTTCACCTTCCCATTCTTTTCTCTTCAACAGATAGTGTACATGAGTTTATCTGCAAAAGTCTGATGGATGCTTCTGAATATACATAGTCAACTTCTGCACCATAATGGCATTGCAGCAAAATTTCAAGCAGGAAAAGTTTGTAATGTGATCATCCCTTCTTGGTATTGGTTGATACCCAATCAAACAAATACATCATGCCGCTTCTTTGGGTTTGTTTCAGGGTTCCCTTTTCTGATCATTGCTACAAACTCATCATAGTTGATCCGTCCATCCTGTAGTTTTTGGAAACATTCATAGCATTAGCAAACCGACTACTATTATGCCCCACAGTTCATTAATTATGGTTGAACCTGATAGACAAATCTTGACATTCCTACACAACTTGATTCAAGATGGAGATGACAAGTGACAAAAAAGAAAAAGATCCTGTAGTTTTTAATAATATTCCTACACAACCTGATAGCCTTTCCTCATGAAGGCTATTCTTTGCCCATTCTATGCTATGAAGATAGGATTGGATAGTCAAAAGCCCAAGTATTTAGAAGTAAGCTCTATTTTCTTTTGATATTTAAAAGAAGAGGGTGCCCATGGGGCATGCAAATACTCAATACCTTGTCAATTGGGATACATTACAAGATTGTAAGCACAATACCAAAAAGGATATTGGTATTTGCTTTTTGATTTTCACTTATGATGATTCTCACCAAATTAGAGAACTCAGTAACCAAAATATGTTTGTAGTGTATGCATAAATATAAATTCAATATTTCAATCTCTTTCTGTTCTCTGCTTACATTGTCAATGTCGACTTCAGAAAGTATTTCCTTTATATCCCTTCCATCATGCATTCCAAACTCTCTTAGAGCCTGATCTAGCTCTACTGTTGTAATGTACCTGAGAAAAGAAAAACAGACAAAAAGAAGATAGGTAGTAGGGAATAAGTACCATTGGTTGTTCTGGAAATTATATTAGATCAGAAATTAATTAAAAAAAAAGGAATTTCTAATTAATCAAAAAACCAGTTAGCATTTCCTATATTGATCTAAGGATGTAATTAATGCTTTGACCATCATACTTACCCACTGTTATCTTTGTCAAAGTATTGGAATGCAGTGTAAAGGTGTTCTTCTCTGTCCATTCTGTTCATGTGCATTGTTGCTGTGATGAATTCATCATAGTCTATGGTCCCATTGCCATCTGCGTCAGCCTATTTTCAAAGTATACAATAAATTAAAGAGAAAAGAAAACTATTTTTGTAAATTTATATAATTTTGAACCACACGATGTTCTTAAATAATATTATTCACTTTCTATATTTCAGAAACATACAGCTTCCATTAGCTGTTTAACTTCATACTCCGATAACTTTGTCCCTTGCTTGGAGAGTCCTTGCTTCAGCTCTTCAAGTGTTATGGTGCCACTGTTGTCAGTATCCATGTTTTTGAACATTTCCTTTAGTCCCATGATTTCTTCCTCCGAGAGACATCCTGCAATTACCTGTCCACATGAAACAAAACAAAATAAGTTGGGCAAAATTTCTACCTTCCTTTAAGCCATATAGAAGTTAGCATGTGGTTAGGATTTCAGTTTCCCAAACAAAGCTATGTAACTGATTAGTTGGGAAATTAACATATTATTGAGTTATGTTATACACAGTGACTACACTGTCACTACCACAGTAATCATTGTTAAAGGATGGATTCAAAAGTAATTTACAATCATGTAAAGCCACTAAATTTATTCTGGCATTCTGTCTTTGGAGAAGATTGGGAAACCGCCATTGTTTGTCATCTCATGACACTATTACTCTAATTTTAGGCATTTTGGAGCACCTAGTGGAGATAACTTGACATAGGAGGCTTCTCAAAATATGTAGGAATTAGCAAAATCAAAATTGACACCTGACAAGTAGATAATTCACTGAAACATTGCACATAAATTTGATTGTCAAAGTTGTAGTTGATTAGGAAGTTAGGTCATATGATTGACATTGACTGATGGAGCACCTAGTGGAGATAACTTGACATAGGAGGCTTCTCAAAATATGTAGGAATTAGAAAAATCAAATTTGACATCTGCCAAGTAGATAATTCACTGAAACATTGCACATAAATTTGATTGTCAAAGTTTAGTTGATTAGGAAGTTAGGTCATATGATTGACATTGACTGATTTAAGGCCTTTCTTGATTATATATAAGGTTGTTCAACAAATGGATCTTGCTTTCTAGGGAAAATTATAATTGCATCATATATTTCCTGTTTGTCTTAAATCACAAAATTGTCATGTAATTATGCATAATAATGAGAAAATACCGTTTTGAGTCAATTAAACATTTTTTTTTGGAAAGGTTATAATGTAGCATACCCGAAGAGCAACTTTCTTGAACTTGTTCATTGCTCTGAATTGTTTGAGCCTATTGAAGACAGCATTATCAAGAGGCACATCAGGCGCTTCTCCATCTTCCTTGATCCATGGATGATCTGAATTTAACACTGTTAGAAAATGTGTACTATCAATTCCAATTAATGACTCACAAAAGCTCATATTGGACACAGAATGCCTCATGGGGCTTCTTGATCATGAACAAAATCAAGCCAATAGAGTTGATGGTAAAATTAGGTATGTCATAAGAGCTTCAATGAGTTTTTCCAAGAGTAAATTAAGGAAGCTTCAATGAGTTTTTCCAAAATCAAGCCAATATGGTGAAGCTTAAGAGTAAATTAAGGAAGCTTCTGAATGATAATCATTTCTTTGGAGAGTTTATAGCTACAGAACAATGAAACCTGTGATACAAAATAAATTGTTCCAAAGTGTGTTATGAATGTCAGAATTATACACCTCTGTGATATTTAATACATAATATACACTATTTAGAGTTAATAAATTATAGGAGATTTCATGTTAGTCATAAACCACGGCTTACTTAAGCTTGCATGCAATTTAAGAATACAAGGGCAAGGAAATGAAATAACAAAATTAGTTTGTTTACTTTCTCTTACATTTCGTATATATGGTAATAAAAGAAAGCAATGAAAATCTACATGCGTAAAGCATTACTAGTAATTGGTCATGTTAGGGGAGAAAGGATGCTAATCCCTACTTTCAGTTGGTAAATTCATCTGAAGCAAAAAGCACTGAAGAAAAAGTTRTACTTACTGAGAACTTCGACTGCTGTCAACCTCTGCTTGGGGTCTGCATTTAGCATCTTTCTGACAAGATCCTTTGCTCCAGCTGAAATTGATGGCCATGGGTCGCTTGTGAAATCAATGTGTCCACGTAAGATTGAATTGAAAATTCCATGCTCCGATTCTGTCAGACCATTTAATTCTTTCATAATTTAATCAATTTAAACATTTATTTCCATATATTTGTTCTTTACTGATGGTGGTTGTGTTTGTAGTTATGACAATATGAGGTAAACAAGCAAGGAAAAAGAGCTAATAAAGTAAGAAGAAATTACCAGCCCAAAAAGGAGGAACTCCACAAAGAAGAATATACAACATCACTCCTACACTCCATATATCCACTTCTGGTCCATATTTTCTCTTCAGGACTTCGGGTGCAATATAATATGCACTGCCAACAATATCCCTGAACACTTCACCTGTTATAGGGTAAACAGTTTGATGCCTAGCTGAGTAAGTAATAGCAACAATCTTGACTGGAATAGTTAAACTGAATCAAGAAAAGGTCAACTAAAAACTCTGTAAAGCAATAGCTAGCTAGAGCTTATAAAAGGTGGCGGGCTGAAGAAAGAGAAACATAACTTCTGAGAAGATTTTTTTTTTAGATTTTGTAGTCTTTTAGCAACTGAAGGATAAGATGCGTATGCTTAACCATTATGTTTTTGGTGGAATGAAACTTATGTTATAGGGCAAAGTTATTTTAGTCATTTTATTCCCCCATTCTCATCAGAGTCTACTAGAGGGACCATTGTTTAGACAAGCTACAAAGCTGATGAAAAGTTTGGTGGTTTAACAGAAAATTCTGAAGAGAGGAATGAAGTCTGAAGAATCCATTTAGTGTTAGATTCTTGCAGTGATTCTTTAAATTTAAATAGATATTTGGGGACAAAATTAGTACATAAATTCTCATATTTCATCTCTAGTATTTCACTTTTGAAGGTAAAATTCTAATTTCTCCTAAAAATATTTTATAAAAACTTCAGGTATATCTTTCAATATATTAATGACAGCAATGCTAAAGTTTGACAAGAATTCTGTCGGCATGAAACCATATTATTTATTGAAATCCTCAGACAGAAAACAAGATTAACTAAAAGATCCAGATAATGGGATTAAGTTTTTGACCTTGCTTGAAAAAGACGGAAAGACCAAAATCTGTAGCCTTTAGAGGGGCATTCTCATCCTTGCTCAAAAGGAGGAAATTCTCTGGCTTTAAATCCCTGTGGACAACTCCCATAGAGTGGCAAGTGTGAACAATCTGAACAATTGTCCTCAGCAGGGATGCAGCTTCACGCTCCGAGTAATACCCCTTTGCAATAATCCGATCAAAGAGCTCTCCCCCAGCACATAATTCCATCACCAAATGCACAGATTGTTTATCCTCGTATGCACCCTTCAATTCAACAATGTTGGGTTGGCCAGCCAGATGGTGCATGATCTGAACCTCTCTCCTAACATCCTCAATATCCTCTTTGTTAGCCAGTTTCCGCTTGGCTATCATCTTACACGCGAATTGCTCACCAGTAACCTTGTGGGTGCACAGATGGGTGACCCCAAATTGGCCTCGTCCGAGCTCCTTCCCGATTGTGTACACTGATCGAACATCTTCCATGGGTCGGTTCAAGACGGTTCCCATTTGGGAAGACTTGGAAGACTTGGTGGGTGGACTTGGGGTGGTGGGAGCAGTTGAAGGCTTGGGTGGGGAGACAGTATCCGAATCTGGGTTTTCTCCATTAGCAGACTGATCTCCTGCATCCTTGTTATCGGGAGCCTTAGCGTCCTTATTGTTATCGCCATGGGAGAAACAGTTGCCCATGGTAGAGTGGAAGGATGTGGGAGGGGACGCTGGCCCAGGAGGAGGAGAGGAGAGGAGAGACGGAGATGGGGTTCTGGGGTTTTAAGAAGGGGTGGGAAAGGAGAAGGAGATGCATGTAGAGAGAGAGGGAAGAGAGAGAGAGAGAGAGAGAGAGAGAGAGAGAGAGAAGGGAAGCTCAAGGAGGGGAAAGAAAGAGAAGAGGTTGGATGGTTGATGAATATAGAAAGAATATCGATGGTGAGGGATTGTAGGGGAGGCGTAAATTTGAATTCGGTTTGAAAGAGTCGTTGGGGGCAGAGTTGAGGTAGGAAGGTTCAGAGGAACTGGCGGGAAGCAACGGTTTTCCTCTTTATTTTTGTCTTGTGCGAGTTGGGATCAACGGCTGCGGACAGCCGGACAGGGTGTGCTTGGGCTTACGGGTGGTTTTGAGCCTAGCGGAATATATTCGAGCTCGGTTCGGCAGGTAAACATCAAATTCGTGTTTGTGCTCGAGTTTTAAACATATTAGTTTGAATTTGGCTTGATTTAAAAGTTCTTAGGTTCGATCTCGGATTTGCAAATCGATAGAGTCAAGTTTTCTATAATAAAAAATTATTTATAATATAAATTTCATTAAGCTCACAAGCCTTACGAGCTGAATTTTATTAAGTCGAATTTGGTTCATTAGGCTTAATTTGGAAAGAGTGCAAAACCTTGTATTTTGTATTATTTTATACCCATTTACATTCTACATATTTATATTTGTACTCTTTCCAAACTAAGCCTTAGCAAACAAGTTTTCATGGGCTTGATTCAGCAGCTCAAAGCTTGACAAGCTTTAAATTGAGCTAGCTGTTTTGGCTTGTGCCATTTTCTGCTCTCTAAGTGACTGAATTGTCCCTAGAGGTTGATGAAATTTACATGTAGTGGCACGTACAAGGGCATTTTCGTCTTTTTATTTGTGGAAAAAAGGACAATACACCATGAATCCCATTGAGAGATCAACGAAGGCATCCTTCAAGTTAAAAGAAAAGGCAGCTGAGATGGGAACTGGCATGGGTCCAAGTGGGTTTCAGGCATGCACGGCAAAATTTAGTCCAATAATAAGCTCCTTTATCTTATTCCTTTATTGGCCAATTAATCAGCAGCTCCATTGCCTGCACGATTAATATGGATCTACAAAATAATTGTATGCATGAGACTTGCTGTCAAGGATGGAAAGGCCACAACCAAGGGACCTCAGGGCTTCCTTGCAGAAACTTGATTACTAGTAGAGAATTACCTTCTATCACTATAGAGGGGTAAGATGTTTGAGATAATAACTGGCCAGTTTGTGGGCTTGGAGGGCTGCCCACATCTCAGCCATTATAATAGAAGTTTGGGAAAATTCTGGATTAGTATTCTGTACTTTGGGTCTAGTGTTACTTTGGTCCCTGAACTTTAAAATGTGATAATTCAATATCCGAATTTTTAAAACGTGCTAATTTAATATCTATCGTTAATTAGCCGTTAAGTGGCATTTAAAAAGACACAAGTGCCTTTCGAGTGTCATCTAATTTTCTTTATCAATCATCCAAATGTTGATAAAAAAATGAAAAGTCCCAAATTCTTGTCTCTTCTATTCAAGAAAGTTGAGGTCACCAGAATGCCCGTTGAGGCGTGACCCCAACTTTCTTGAATAGAAGAGTCAAGGATTTGGGACTGTTCATTTTTTGTCAACATTTGAATGGTTGATAAATAGAATTAGATGACACTTGAGGGGCATTTGTGTCTTTTCAAATGCCACTTAACGGGCTGATTAACATTAGGTACTGGATTTGCACATTTTGAAAATTCAGAGACTGAATTATCGCATTTTAAAGTTTAGGGACCAGCCCATTTTAGCTTCTACCCAATTTGCTTCAATTTGCTTATTCGTGTATGACCAAGCCTTGGACACTATCTCTTGGGG